GTTCACTTCGGATAAGCCTTATCCAAATTTTGGCCTGATGGTCTCTATAACTTGTCAGTTGCCTACGTGCCTCCTGACACGCTCGTAATCACTTCTCGTAAAATACGAAGACAACCTCTGCCGTGCCGAAGTGACTTCCCCTCCAGTCGCCATCCGACACCTATAAAGCGAGGGATGACTCAAGATGCTAGCGTGCCTTCTGCTACACTCTCAATCACTTCCCGAAAAATGTGGAGACACCCTCTCCCATGCCGAAGTGAATTCCCCTTCAGTCGCCAGCTGACACCTGTAAACCGAGGGATGATTCGGCTCTTAGCTCGCACTTCATCACCGCCTCCCTATGCAGGCTAGAGGTGACCTATTTTGATCCCGGCGACGGAGATATATACATGTATACTCCCAACCTCAAGAGGAGGAGACCAAAAAAAGGGGGCGAGACCTAAGAAAAAAGGCTTAAGCCAAGGCTCTCTCTCTCTCTCTCTCTCTCTCTCTCTCTCTCTCTCTCTCTTAAAAAAAAAAAAGTCACCTCTTCCTCCCTCAAATCCGACGTTGACGCCGTCTATTCTCTCCGTCACTGACTGTAGGCTGTCAAAAATAATCACAACAGATAGCTTATCCCCATCAAACATCAACAAGGAGAGTTACAATTCAACGACTTCTAGAAGGCTACAATTTGAAGACTTTCACGTAGATCGATGAATATTACAAATCGACGACCTTCACGATAACCGATGAAAGCTCTGATCAATGGTCTTCACTCTCTCTCTCTCTCTCTCTCTCTCTCTCTCTCTCTCTCTTAAAAAAGAAAAAGAACCTACAGTTCTTCATCTACAAAGGGGAGCTCATGTAGATCCTCTGTGCATGCACATTGCCACTTCAAGAACCACATCGGTTCCTGACCTTCCCCTCCCTCATTCAAGTTTCACTAACTTGACCGTCGGAGGAACCACGGGGAACCAGTCACCGCCCTCTCACGATTTCTTCTTATCTGTGCAGCATGGACATCAAGCCCTCGTTCAAGAACCTAACATAAAGTCGAAGAAGGGAGCGACCCCTCCATCACTCTCCTCTACCCCGTCCCGACGAGGACCCAGGGGGACCGAGCTAGTTCCGGATTAGAACCGATCCCAGCCCACATTCGATTGACTATTTGGTCCTAGTCATCAACAGTCAGGGTTGCCAACCCTGACTATCTGTGACGTCTCGCCTCTCTCTACTAAATAGTCAGGGTTGCCAACCCTAACTATCTGATGATGCTGGGAACCCTGATCATTTTGACTTGGGTCCCTTGGTCCATTGAAATGGTCATGGTTCCCAACCTCGACCATTTTGTGTGACGACTAAATTAGTCGAGTTTCGCAACCCCGACTTGTTTAGTCCCCAAACCACTCATGGTGGGCTGGGATCGTTCTAATTAATCGGGGTTGCTAACCCTGATTAATTAGGAAGCGGGTTTTTTTAAATCGACCCAGCTTCTGGCCACGATGATGATGTGGCCAGAAACTGGGTCGATTTCTGAAAATAAATTTGGGGTTGGTCGATTTTAAAAATTTGTTTTGGGGCTATTTTGAAATTTTCTTCTATCAAAAAAGTACTTGTTAGTGAAACAAGTATATAGTTAAACATGCTCTAATTGCACATCAATATTCTCAGTTGAAAGTAGATTGACATAAACACCGTGTGATTTCTAAAAGTTGCACTTTACTACTCTCAGCAATGCAAATGTGAGAATCCCCCGAAAAAAAATTCATGCAACATTATTGTTTACAGCTATTTATCCAACAATGATCCTAACTTGCATTACACTTTTCAACAACTATTGCACAACGAGCTGAAGCCACGTGCTTTCCAGATTACACTCGTTACAATTGAGAAAAAAATTACACTCGTTACAACAGAGAAAAGCATGAGCTCCGCTAGGAGTGTCCAAAAAGCCCACAGCCCGGCCCGAGCCCGGGGTCGGCCCGGAAACCCGGGCCAAACCCGGGTCCGGGCCCGGGTCGGCGCAAACTCGCCCGGTCCAGATTCGGGCCCGGCCCGGAACAGTACCGGCTCCGGTCTGGCGCC